TCCCTTCTGGCCAAGTGTCCAAAGTATCTGAGATGGAGCTTCAAAATCCTAGCCTCCAAGGGAGAGACTTGGTTTCACCTTCTCTAAGACAGATCTATTTGTTTTCTTGGCAATCCATGGTATGTTCAATACTCTTCTCCAGCACCACAACACGAAGGTATCAATTCTTCTGTCAACTCTAGTCATGCAAAGCAAGTAATTATGAAGACCATGGACAGAATCAAGTGAACCTTAATCTCTAGACTGACATAGTTGCTCTTTAGCATTTCGGAGAGGTCATTGACAGCAGCTTTACCCAGAGCAATTTGGGTTTTTTTTATTTCTTGACAGCTGGTGCCAAGAGTGGTGATTGTAAATCTGAGTAAGCTGAAATTGTTAACCATCTCAATCTCTTCTCCATCTATCAGGGTGCTGTCTCAGAGAGAAAACCTTCTCCAAAGCTGGTACCAGGAATTTGGAGCTAGAGTCTCCTAAACTCATGAGAGATTGGCACCAATGTGGGAGACTGGCAGCAATGTGAGGCATGAGGCATCGTGGAAGTGACTCAAAGCCTGAGTCATATCAAGATTTGGTTGGGGGGAGGAAGATGGTGGTCAGGCTAGGCAAGGTGACAGGGCAAGGGTATGCTGGTGGAGCAGGGAAGGGACAGGCCCAACACACACTCACCGAAGTGCGGTGCCGACACTGAATCTACTGGTTAGTTCTGTAAGGGGAAGTGTCCTTCATTTGCCCTTTTCAGTAAAATGCCTGTCTGTCAGATATTGTTCTAAAGCTATGCATCCAAATTAAGACAGACTAGGAAGAAGGATTGACCATCCACGTCTACAATAACAGATCTTTCAAAACTCTATGTATGTTGTTGTTGTTGTTATGTGCCATTAAGTCACTTGTGACTCAGTGACCCTATGCACAACAGCTCTAAACCTTGTTCTGTCTTGTGCCAATTGCGCTGTCTATGACACACCCACCCGGATTACCCCAGTCACTGAATCAATCCACCTCATAGAGGGCCTTCCCCCTCCTGTGCTGTCCCTCCACCCTCCCAAGCATGACATCCTTCTCTAAGGACTGATTCCTCCTTGCAACATGCTCAAAGTATGTCAAATGAAGTCTCAGAATCCTTGCCTCCAAGGAGAAGCCTGATTTCACCCTCTCCAGGATGAACCTGTTCGTTTTCTTAGCAGTCCATGAAACATTTAATACTTTTTTCCAGCACCACAGCTCAAAGGAATCAATTCTCCTTCTCTTCTCCCTAGTCATTGTCCAGCTCTCTGATGCATAACAAGTGATAGCAAAGACCATGGCCTGTATCAGGTGCACCTTAGTCTCTGGAATGACACCATTGCTCTTCAGTACTTTGGAGAGGTCCCTAACAGCAGGCTTTCCCACTGCAATGTGACTTTTAATTTCCTGGATGCTGGTGACAAGAGTGTTGACTGTGGAGCCAAGCAAACTAAAGCTGTGAACAATCTCAAGCTCTTCACCATCCATCCTGAGACTGCCAATTGGTTCAGTGGTGAAAATCTTTGTCTTCTTGATATTGAGCCTCAACCCATATTGAAGGCTGCAGTCCTTGACCCTCTGCAGCAAGCGCTTCAGGTCCTTCTCAGTTTCAGCCAGCAAGGTTATGTCATCAACATAATGCAGATTATTGATGACTCTTCTACTAATCCTGATGCCACATTTCTCCTCATAGAGCCCAGCCTCCCAGATAATCTGTTCTGCATATAGGTTGAAAAGTTATGGAGACAGGACACATCCCTGGCACACACCCTTCCCAATTTTGAACCACGAAGTGTTTCCTTGCTCTGTTCTGACTGCTACCTCCTAGTCTAAGTATAGGTTTCTCATTAGCACGATCAAGTGTTTTGGGATTCCCATTCTTCTCAGAGTCAGACACAGTTTGTTGTGATCCACACAGTCAAACGCTTTTACATAATCAATGAAACACAGATAGACATTCCTCTAGTATATTAAAGCAAAATACTTACAGTAGATGAACATACATGGCCCCTGAGGTTGAGCTCTCATGTTGGGGAAACACAATTGAGCAGGAATAGCTGTAAGCAGGCAGTAATGATTGCAAATGTGGAATGTGAAAAGTGTGAATGTAGCAAAATTGGACATTTTAAAGAATGAAATGGGATGCATAAGTATTGACATACCAGGCATTGGCAAAATGAAATGGATTGGCATGGGATATTTTGAGTCAGATCAAACATAAATGAAATTGATTCTTGCTCAATTTAACTTGGTTGGATCATGATTTGTCTTGGATAGCTAGTATCGGAATTAAAACTTCATGTCAGTGGACTAACTGGAGTTCTGAAAGCCTCAAGCAGGAGACAGATTTGGTTATGAGAAACATTGCTCTGCAGGCAGTGTTCAGAGGTGGAGAGCCCAAGGATGGGAAAGACTGTCAGGATGTGCATCGTCACCTCCTAGCAAGGCTCAGTTGTAAATTACAGGACAATGAAAAGAAAAATGAGCTTTTAGAGGGCAGCTTCTCTGCCACCTTTTAAAAACCCGGACCCGCTCAAGCTGAAGCTCCTGGACTGGATCGAAGGCAAGGAGCGGAACAACCGGGCGCTGCTGTCCACACTGCACACGGTCCTGTGGGCTGGAGAGTCCCGCTGGACGCCTGTGGGCATGGCCGATTTGGTGACGCCCAGCCAGGTGAAGAAGCACTACCGGCGGGCGGTGCTGGTCATCCACCCCGACAAGGCCACCGGGCAGCCCTACGAGCAGTACGCCAAGATGATCTTCATGGAGCTCAACGACGCTTGGTCCGAGTTTGAGAACCAGGGTGCCAAAGCCCTCTTCTGAGCCTCGGCCAGCGGGGCCATGGCGGCCGGACACCTCCGTGCACACCAGCGCCTGTGGGCCTGGTGGCCACTGGGCCTCGTGCCAGCCGCCGTCCTCGGAGCTGGGCCCTCGCGGGTGAGAGCCTTCCGGAGCTCAGGCTTCTAATGACGCTTCCTCTCTTTCTTTCGTCCCAAAGGAAAGTGTTGATGTACATTCCTCTGTTCTCACGGTTGGTGATTTCTTTGCGTGTTAGTGACCGGCACCTCGTTGCAGGACGGCCGCTAGGTCAAGGCCACGCTCACTAAGCGTGCGTTTCTTCCCTTTGACCCCAGAGGTGTACATTTGCATCTTGTTTTATGGAATCAGTTTGATGATCACCCTGTACATAATTAAACTATTTTCTGATGACTGAAAAAACCAACCAAACAAACAAAAAAAAAAAACCCACTTTGTGAAAATGTGTCAGGTCTTGCCTGATGATAAAAGCAAACTAGAAGGCTGATTAGTAATTTTGCAAACACTAGGCAGTGTCCTGTTCTATAGAAAACACTGGCCCCAAATGAAGGGGATTTAAGTTTTGACCCCGGTGACTCTCTGATTTATGATATGGTTTTTAGCAAGTAGTTGGATTTCTGGAGGTCTGGGCTGCTTCTTCAAAAAGAAGAGGTAGAGTCAATGCCCTGAAGTTCTCCTCTAATCCATAGTTCAGTATCATTGGTGCCATGACCCTCTGAGCTCTGCAATGATTTTAAAAACAAAACATAACACGCAGAGTAATAAGCTTTATAGTATTAAGTAGTGCTCAAGAAAGAAAGAGAAAGTTACCAGTGGGTCCATTCAGACTCATGGAGAGCTAACGTGTGTCAGAGTATAAGTGTGCTCTTCAACATCTGCTCTTTTGGAACTAGTTTGCCAGGTCTTTTTTCTAGGCTGCGTAGACTCAAATGCTTAGTTCTTCTCAGAACATTAACTATTTGTACCACCCAGAGATGATTAGCTTCACTGTTTGGTACAGTGTTAGAAGAGAACGTTATTGTAGATAATATCAAGTTCAAATTTCCATTTTTAAGATGTGAACAGCAATGTGTCTGGCAATCATGATTGCATTTTTCTAGATCAAGGATTTAGTTGGTGGCAAAACAAAAGATCAAACCTACAATCAGTTTATTCATTAAGTATCATTATCCTGTCTATATATAATATAAAACATGCAGGGAACCTGGAATATAACAGTTTGCTGTCTTCAAGTTTAAGAATGAATCTTTCAATTCATTACTAGCTTATTCAGAAAGATTTTAATGGAATTAATGGCCATTCCTGGTATTTATACTTTCCAAAGTGTCACATATAAGTCAACAACAACAACAACAAAACACCTTTCAACTTTTTTTTTCTTTCAGGTTTGGTGCAGTGGGTTCCAGGATGTCAGAGATTGTGAGCATCCTCAGGAGAGGGCCAGGTTCAGATCTACCTTTCAGAGGTTTGCTATGAGTCATAGTCAAATCAATAGCACGTAAAGACATATCTGCTGGATACTAGTCCCCTCGTGTGCAGCTACCACCCACTAATCAGTGGAGCTTGTGTGTTGTTATGATGTTGGACAGGTTTAAGCGGAGCTTGTCTACTAAGGTGCACAAAGTCAAGGGGGATATTTCTGAAAATGAGCAAGTGCAATGAACATCCTGTGTCTCCCCATGTTCTGGGGATGGTGCAAATTTAGTGCTCTGGCAAGATTTGGTTCCTTTGAGAAGGTCCTCATGAATTGGGGCCACTCAAAATCAGTTAACAACAACAACAACAATGACAACTTGTCATTCAGTGTTGAGGGACAAAGATTTAAAAATCTAGGCTAGGTCATCACTAACCAGTTCTAAATATTGTGTGCCACAAGCTACTCTCGTGTTTTACTATGGGCCTTAACATAGCTTCAGAGAGTAACTGTTAATGTGTTGTTGTTGATGATTGCCATCGAGTCGAGCACAACTCATAGTGACTCTATGAACAAAAGACCAGAAGCCTTTCTATAACTATTGTTTTTTCCTCAAAGTTCATAGATTTTCCAGAGGCATCTTGGTTACAAAGTAGAACTGTTAAGGTAGTATTCAATATTATCAATATCATGGAGTGGTTTTGCCATTAAGGAACAGACTTCATAAAGATCAATAACTAAGCTTCAAAAATTGTCCAGTGCTTACTTGTTGGCTGTCCCATGAAGGTTGGTCAGGATTGTGAAGTTGTTTCTCACACTTCTCAAGCTGGCAAGGACCTGTAGGGGAAATGTTACAAAAGGTTAGAATGAAAAGGAGGTTCAGAGGCCACACTAAAGAGCACACCCAGAGGCAGAATGAGAGCAGACCAGTGCCAGCATGAGACATACCTGGGCAAATGGTGTTACAATCAGGTCATCGCCGTGTCTGATGAAAAGAGGGGGGGGAAAAGACATTCGTAAACATATATGAATTATAAGTGTGACATATAAACTGCCATAGTAAAATGCCATCACCTTTAAGAGACATGTGTTATACATATATAAAAATTTCCACTTGAATATAAAATACTAAAAAAGGAGATATAAGTGGAGATTCCCAGGAACTTAAAGACCAAATCAACACACACACACACACACACACACACACACACACACACACACCCTGACAGGTTCAAGGCTCCTGGATCAAGACTGATTACATCTAAAAGCACTTGCAAGTAAATTTATACCCTGAGGCTATATTCCATCAAAGAGCAGACCCAGTGCTCTGTAATCCAAAGCGATTTGAGGATTTTGGTTGCCAGAGCCAGGAAATTCAGAGGGAGGGCTGTTCACAAGCACACACAGAGTTGGAAAAATGGTATAACAGTCTGGATAAAGGTTAACATTGGATTTCCTGGCTTTTGTTGATTTGAACCACAGCCTTAATGCCATTTAAACACAGAATTCTGTCTGGGAAGCCCATTATTTTTTTTTTGCTTTTAATGTAACTTTTTTCTTAAAGCACGTTAGGAAAGACTTTCGATTGCATAGATTGAGCCTAACATTACTATACTTAATGCCATTAAACTTGTCGCAGAGACTTGGTGAAGCTGTCCTGAATCATTATGTAAATTTGTCCTCAAGAACAGTCAAACACTTATTTTCAGAAGTGGAGTCTTTCTCTCTCTGGTGCATGTTTTCATAAATCGACTCAAGTCTACATTCAGCCAGCTCACCATGAAATTCATGAAAACACATTGGTCTGGAATATAGGCACAGAATCTGGGTAATCTTCAACCTCTCTCTGAATAACATGAACACAGACACTGTGACAAAGAGTCTCCCTCGCTGTCCTTTCTATCCTCTTTGTGTCTGCAATCTCCACAGAAATATGACACCTATTTGCTAGCCATGTGAGTGCAAGTGATGATTATTAAGCTTCTTCCCTATTCCAGGCAGCAAATGAGGTCTAGAGATCGGAACTGAGCAAGACAATATACCCAAAGAAAATACCTGTTCTTAGGGAAGATTTTATGAGTTTGAGGGCTGTTCCATAAGTAAAAAAAATTTGTTTTGGGGGTCCTTAACTACATATGGCACCATCTTTTATACTTTTATCTTTCACTTGAACTTCCCTTTCAAGTTTTTCCAACTAAGTTTTTTGTTTGCTTACTTTGTACGACAGCCACAAACTTATTCATTGTCATCAAAGTCAAGTTGGAAGGGGCTCAAAGTCAAACAGAACTCTCCAGGGAGTTTTCAGAGGCTGTAAATTGCACAAAAGGAGATTTCCCATATTTCTCCTGCAAAGGATCTGGTGGATTAGAAACACCTGCCTTTGGATTGAGAGTACAACAAAAATAATAACCACAGCAAACATCCTTTGAGTGATTACTGTGTATCCCTATGCTAAAAGTGCTTTATCTGCACATTCAAACTCATTGCTACCAGTTGGAACCAGCTCATAGATGACACTTCATTGGATTTCTGGGGCTGTAAATTGCATGGAAAGAAATTGGTTTTCTGTCATGGAGCTGCTGGAAGATTTGAACCATCAGAGGGATTAGGCCTTTTGGTTTGTAGGCCACTGTAGTAGCTCTTGTGATGTGCATAATCTCACTTAATTCTTCTAAAAAGACTAAGAGACAGATACTCTTACTATTCTGATTTTATATAGAGAGTCAAGGTTCAAAGTGACTAAGCACTTGGCATGGGTCCTATAGTTGGTAAGTAGAAGATCTGAGACAGATTGATTGAAAAAAATGAGTACTTTGAATCACTCTGCTTCTGCTTTATGATAGCAACATAGCTGAAAAATTCAAATTATGAAAGTCCACAGGAATGTTAGTGTTGGGTCAGGTCTGACTCAATGGTACACAACAGCATCAATAACTTATAAAAAGGAATGACAGAAACATTTAGGAAAAACAACCAAAACATCACAGACATTACAAATGTAGTATGAGAATTGTGAGGACCATAAATAATTAACAGAAGTGATGATAATTATAGGTAAAAGGAAGGAAGAAAGGTTGTTTGCATGAAAATTATTTGAGAGGAGCTTTGAAGGATGGGTTTTACAAAAGCAAAGCAGCAGATAATACCAGTGAGAGATATGACAAAAATGAAAGCATTAAAGAAAATATGCCTGGATACGCTCACTGAGCCACTCAGACACTAGATGGAGCTAAGCATCTTAACCACATTTACAGTGTACAATGTAGCCTGATGATAAGGGAGCTGTACCACCAACACAAAGGTATATCGTTCGGATCCACTGGCTGCTTGTCTCAAGAAAGATGGGCAATTTCAACCTGTGGATACTCACTGGAGGGTCATTTATGAACTGGTTCTAATTAGAAGGCATATAACAACAATTACAACAGTGCTAGAGACTTTTATAGTGCATAATGTTAGGTTTCTACAGTCATGTTAGGAAGAATCTAGAGAAAGTTGTAGGGTTGTGTTTAGTGAAGTAGAAGGAATGCATCCGTGAAGGGTTTTAGTGAGATGGGAAGGGAAAGAAGCAAAAAGAAAGAAAATTTCTAGGCAATGGAGTGGACTGGAGGGGATGGATACTAGCAGAATAATCAGGAAGGTACGGCAGTCATTTGGTGAAACAGCAAACGGTACAGGAAAAGATGATTTGAAAAGGCCTTTTAAATTGGCATTTAAATGGATAAGGATTCATAAATAATTATTGTTGTTGTTATGTGCCATTGAGTCATCTGCAATTCATAGCGACCCTATGTACATCAGCCCTAACCCCTGCTCTATCCTGAGCCAAAAGGTATCTGGGTAAATCATGAAGTAATGAAGACAAGGAAGGGTTAGGGGAGATGTATTATTTTCCACAGGTTGAGGTTTTAGATACTGGTTGATGTTCAAGAGGAAACATGAGAGCGTCTGAACCATAGAAGTCAGAGTGATAGATGTACCTGCAATAGCAGGAATAGTTAAAAGCAACAGCAGTGCCGGCTGCACGAGATGAGGGTATATATATAGACAGGAAGGCAAAGAAAGAAGCCCTGGAAATACCTCAGTTGAAAGGAATGTAAAGGAGAGATAAAATAAGGAGCGAAGAGAATTGAATGGGATCAAACCCTACCCCTTTCTAGAACTATTTTTTAACAAGAATTTTGAGATGGATGCTTATCTTGCTTATTTGTTCAGATTTCTTACATGACATTTCCATTGTTCAAAGACACCAGAGTGTATTGAAGTCAAGGAAACAGAGTTGCCAATGGCCATCAGACTGATTCCTATTCACAGCCACCACATGTGTACAGAATAAACTGGGCCCATAAGGTTTTCAAAGCTGTGACTTTTTTGAAAGCAGATTCATAGTTCTGTCTTTAAAGTAATTCCGGTTGTGTTTGAACCACAGACCTTTCTGCTAGTAGTTGAATAATGAATTATTTGTGCTACCTGGACGAGCGGAGGGAGGGGCGGGGTTTAAGTAAATCTGTAACTGACGATTTATGGAACCTCAATATCTGACAAAATGAAGTAAAACAGACAAATCTTATACATACATATAGCCCTCAGGCCTGATGCATCATTGAATGAATTGGGGAGCTATTAAAATTGAATAAGCTAATTGTTAAAGGGAGGTAAAAAAATAGACCTGTGAGCATGGCTTTATTTCATGGACTCTGAAAAGGTACACGTTTGAATCCACCAATTGGTCCGCAGGAAAAAGATGGGCAATATCCTTCCGTGTGACTTATGCCTCTGCAAACCTGCTGGAGGGTCAGTGGTCAGTTCCAACTTGATAGTACACAACAACAACTACAGCATTAAAGTCTAGGTTTACAAACCTCCCGATGAAGATCTCGAAAAGGATTTGCACTGAAGAAACTATAATGCAAGGCAGACGATAGCTGCTAGAGAAATTAACAGATAATTTAAAAAAAAAAAACAAACCTCTCAAGATAGAAAACGAAACCAAATAAGCCAGATTAATTTGAAACAATTTTGTATTCGACACAATTTTTTTAATAGAGTTTTTATTTTTTATTGGTTTACTCACTGAGTTCATATACATTGTTTTTCACACCGGATTTTTCCCATTTCCTTTACGCTATGCTTCCTCCACCCATCAAATTGTGGGACCCTATGATTAACTGCCACCCTTTCCTGCGCCCCCCCCCATGCAACCTCACTCCCCAGTTCTTCTCCTTCCCGTGTTGGATCCTCATATATGTTTTATTAGTTATCTTTCTATTTTTACAATAATGGTTTTATACAGTATTTGCCCTTATGGGACTGAGTTCCTTTAGCATAATGCTGTCCAGTGCTTTCCCTGTTAGGTAGCGATTTACACAATCATTGCTCCTGAGTGCTGCACAGTATTTCATCGTGTGAATGTACCATTATTTCTCAATCAATTTGACTATGGCTGGGCATTTGGACCATTTCAATATTCTTGTGATGGTGAATAACACTGCTATGGACACTGGTGTACAAATCTCTGTTTGTGCCCCAGTTCTCACTTTCTTGGGGTATATTCCAAGCAGTGGAATAGTTGAGTCATATGGAATATCTATGTTCAGTTTTTTTAGGAAATGCCAAACTGCCTTCCAGAGTGGTTGTACCATTTTATAATCCCACTAACAGTGTATAAGAGTTGCAATCTTGCCACATCCTCTCCAACATTTATTACTTGCTTTCCTCTTAAATTTGCTACTGCTATTGGGGTGAGATGGTATCTCATCATGATTTTGATTTGTTTCTCTCTTACTGCCAGTGATTTTGAGCATTTTTTCATGTGTCTGTTGGCCATTGTGTCATCAGTCTTTTTCTTGTTGAGGTTCAGTAGGATTCCTTAAACTTTTGAAATGAGACCCTTGTCTGAAATGTCAAATGTTTTTTCCCCCAAACTGTAGGTTTTCTTTTCACTCTGTTGGAAAATATTTTTGATGCACACAGTGATTTTAATCT